TCAGGTCAAGTTCTGGTCGACTTCTGGAGATAATGATGAAGCGTTGCAAGAGTCCTCGCTCTTCCTTGATCTTGACTATCTTATCTCCTACTCTGATTTCTGTTGATGCATTAGCGCTTTTGTATGTTCCAAGTTTTTTTTTGGTCATTTTGTCCCACACAGAAAGTTTACCTTCTGTCAGGCGTTCTGTGACAAAACCTTCAAACATCTGTTGACCAATGTGGTCACGGCAAATGATGTCATTGGAAGCAGTTTCATTCATAACTTCCTTGGTGAGCAGATTGTAAATTTCATCCTCATTAGTTGATTCAAATGGATTTCCATGTTGATGAAATACATCACTGAGTTTGATGGCGTTTTGTGTTACACGAGAGAGTTTTCCGCCTGTGAGGTCATGATGCTGTGTTCTGTTCTCATTGTTGTCAGTGCAGTATGTTTTTTCAAACTCCCGTTGTAAATTTGACAGTTCAGGTGCAATGAGAAAATATTTGTTCAGTGATTTTTCATTTTGCGTGATTCCTACTATCCAACCAACAACTTTGAGTTCACGATTCTCTTGGTCTGGACCTATGGATGTGAATCCAGCAATGCCTTTGGTGACACTGAAGTTGCCTTTCACAAACTCTGCCCATATTTTGGGATGATCTTTTTCTGTTTCTTGCATTGTAAATATGTACAGTGGCAGCAGACGTGCATAATTTAAATGATCATGGGCAAAGAAGTACTTTATGAGTGTTTCAAGACTCTGCATATGTAGCAATATGTCTCGTTGCCTGGTTGCTCGAACAAATTGGAGAATGGTCTATGAAACGCTGAATCTTGTTTGCACTGCCTTCAAATTGTTTTATTTTTTTGAAGATTTCCCTAGATTCAAACATTTCAATTGTTTTTGTAACAGCATCGCTAAGGTTATGTCTGCATGTGGAGTTTTCTTTCAAGAAGACTTCTTCCTCCGGCTGAAGTTGGAGGAAATTTCGGAAGTATAAGCTGTACAAAGCGAGCAAGGTAACTGTATGAGCTTCCAATGCCCGATACATGTGTTTTCCATTGAGAATCTGTGTTACTGTTGTTGGTGAGTATAGTCCAGCTTCGACCCATGCTTGGTCAATACCACTCCCTTCCACATATTTACCCAGGGCAGATAGTGCCCAGAAGATGATGTGCAGCTCACCAGGCCGAAACAGGAACTGCTTCTTGATGTCCGCACGCTCCATCCACAACTTCATGGCCATGTCGTATAGCTGAAGATCAAGAGTCACGACTGTGATTGATTCTGGTCCCATGACATGAGTGGCGATAGAACGTGCTCTCATCAGCCCTGTATAGAGGGTGCTATACTCAGTTGGAGGTAAGCGTATCAGTGGCGGTATGAGAGCA